CAGGAGCCCATGTGGCTTTCCTGTCCAGTTGCACCCCCAGGTAAGCTGCTTGCTTCTTGATTGGAATTTCTGTGCCGCCTGCTTTGATTGACATTGAGAAGCGATATGTGTAGTGGGGGGCATTGCACAGAACGACGGACTTGCTCGGGGAGAGGGACAGGCCGAGCAGGGAAAGATAGTGCTCAATGTTGGTGACCCCTCTCTGCAAAGCTTTCCGCACGGCCCCTCGGTGCCATCCCCGAGCAGTTGCCCAAAGTGCAATGTCGTCTGCGTAAACCGCTATTTGCAAGCGTTTGACTCCCTTTTGGCCAATGTTTATGATTTGCGGGAGGGCCGACATAGCCACATTAAATAGCAAGGGGGAAAGCACGCCCCCCTGGGGGACGCCACACCTGATTTTCCTGGGAGTGCTGAGTCCCTTGGCTGCTCGTACCTGCGCCTCTCTGCCGCTGAGATATGCCCTCACGTAACGGAGCGGTCGGCCCTCGATTCCTGACAGCCTGAGCATGTCCAGAATTGCTGAGTGTTTGACGGCGTCGAATGCTTTAGACACATCGAGAAGGACGACTCCCGTCGTCCATCTCTTTGCCTTGCTTTCCTCGAGCGTGGTCACCAGATCCGCGATGGCGTCTGCGGTGCAGTGATGCCGTCGGAATCCACACGTGCTTTCCGGGTAGCCGCCCACCGACTCGAGATGGTATTCGAGTCGGCTTTTCACCATTCGTTCGAGTAGTTTCCCCATGCACGACGTGAGCGCGATGGGTCGGAACGAGCTGGGATCTTTTCTGGGCTTACCCGGCTTGGGGATCGGGACGACGACTGCCGAACGCCATTCGGAAGGGATGTTGGCGTCTCGCCACGCTCGATTGAACAATTCTAGCAGCGCTGGGTAGCTCGCTTTGTCGAGGTTTCTCAGCGCTGCAGCGGTGACGCCGTCTGCTCCGGGGGCCGACTTTTTACGTGGGAGCGATGCCAGGGCGCGTTCCAACTCGTGTAGCTGGAAGTCTCCGAGCCCCTCTGTCATCTGGGGCTTCGCGTGCCACTTCCAGTCTCGCCATCCGGGCGGTGCATCTCGGGCGGCAGGCGCGGGTGGGGGGGAGAGCAGTGCGTCCGCTAGAAGTTCTCGGACGTCTGCATCGGAAATGTTAAGCGCGAGTGCCATACCTGCAATAGGATCTCGCGGTCCCGGTCGGTTGCAGAGGGTCTTGGCCATTTTCCACGCCTTGGTGGCCCCGCGGGGGCCGTCGAAGGACTCACACTTCTGCTTCCACTGCTCCCTGGCGAGCCTCTTACCGTGTCGCTTGAAGAGTGCATCCTGGCGTCGGTAGCGGAGTGTGTCCTCGTGACGGCCCGTCCGCAGGGCCACCCTCTGTGCCTGGCGTCTTTGTGCTCGGAGTTGGAGCCAGCGAAAGTCAGGATTAGGACGCTCAACGGGGATACTCACTGACGTGGTGGCCTCTTTGAGTGCGGCGCCGATGGCCTGGCTGTCAAGGGGCCAGCCCATCGCCTCGTACTGGCGGAGGAAGGCACGATACCTGTCCCAGTGGACCACCTTGCACGTTCGATTGGGTGGCCGTGGGGCAGGTCCCGATGTTATGGGAACGTGGTCGCTCCCCCAGCTGTCTTGCTCGAGCACCGTGGTCAGTGGGAATCGCGCCGAGCAGAACGTTAAATCGAGTACGCTCCGCTCGACGCCTCGTCCGATGAATGTGGGCTGCCCTGTTCCGCTGTACTCCAAGTCGGTTTGGGCGAGGGCCTCCTGCAAACGCTTGCCGCGCGCGGTCGTTTTCCTGTCCCCCCACAGCTCGTTGTGCGAGTTAAAGTCTCCGCCGAGAATGATTATGCCCTGCTCTCGCGCGTGAATTTGTTTTACAACCTCTCCACCCCACGCCGCGTTGGGGTGAACGTAGCAAGAAAAGATAGAAAATGTCTGGTTATTTTTCTTTACCCGAATACCTACAAGTTCCGAAGTGTCCGAGCAGTAATCGGCGCTCTCGATCCGGCAGTGGGTCGCGTCTTTGTGGACGAGCACGGCCGCCCAGGGTTGTTTTTCCCGGCCGGGGCAGCAGTAGGTGGTGTAGCTGGGAATGGTTAGTTTGCTCACGTCCATTTTTGGCTCCTGCAGCAGCACCACCTCGTACGGCCTTGCCAAGAGTTCTGCCCTCAGGTGGGTGAGGCGGTTGCCGAGCCCGTTCGCGTTCCACTGGAGGATCGAGGGACAACCTTTTACAGCATTAGGCTTACTTGTTTTCCTAGTGCTTGTAGGCATTCTCAGTTCCTTGCCGCGAACGTTGCATCCCCGCGGTGATGCTGTGTAGTAAGGTCCCCTCCGGGATCATGGCTGTAGCCTGCCGATTCTTGAGGAAAAGCGGGATTAGTGTTTGGAGCAGATCCTCCAGGTTGTGGATCATGTCGCGCATTTCCTGCGCGGTGGGGGGCGTGTCCGTCTCGTCCCGCCGAGGGGAATCCCCGGCGCTGTCTCCTGGGGAGGCTGCGGGGAAGGGGGGTGAGGGGGGCACCTGTTCTTGCTGGGGGAGAGGCCTTTCCCTCTCGCCACCGGGTCGGTCGTCCGCGCGGGGAGAGGAGGATCCTCGCAGGTGCCGTGCGTCAGCTGGGCGCCGGTCATTGACCCCTCGCCGCTGCTGTTGGCTGTCTGGACGGTAGGACCTGCGATAGACCTCCTCCCGCCGCTGCGGCTTACCGACTTCGGGGATTTTGGCGCTGGGTTCCGTGTTAGTGGAGGCCTCTCTTGTCTTTACCTGTGGGGGCTGTGGGACGACTGGGGGGATTAGTTCGCGAGTCCTACTCACCGCGTTTGGCCGACTGCGCGCTTCCAGCGTTGGGAAAGTGTCTCCCCAGACTGAGCTCGCTGGGAGCACGCTGGTCTGCCACGCGGGAGTCTGGCTGGCTCCGCTGTGCATCCAGGGGGGCGGGGCGGCGGTCTGCTCCTGCGCGCGCTGCGTGCTGCGCTCGCTTGCCTTTTTCTTGTGGAGTTCGGCGGCGACACGTTTGGCCTCCTTCCAGCTGCAGCCGGTGTCGCGGACCGCCTCGGCCTCGCGCTTGTGTTGTTGGTACACGCTGCATCCCTTGTCGAATGCAGCGTGTCTGCACTTGCAGTTGGGGCAAATGGGGGTGAGTTTTGTCGCGCACTTACCCCGAGGGTGCCTGCCCCTGCATGTAGGGCAGGCAGTGGGCAGCGTGCACGCGGACTGCACGTGGCCGAAGCGTCCGCATCCCCAGCACTGCGTTGGTCGGACGTGTCGTGCCTCCACGACAAACTCGATGTCATAGATCAGGACCGTGGCTGGTAGGGGTCCGCCGAAGAAGAGCTCCGCGTACCGCCCTCCGCTGAACCGTCTGATGTGGTCCACGGGCACCTCGCTTTCGAGGCCTCGGGTCAGCTGTTCTGTTGCGTCATTGGGGCAAAGTCCGCGGATTACGCCGATACTCACCGCTCTGGCCGGCGCGAGGGTGGCATGGAGAGGGAGGCTCGCCAGCTTGTCGGTGCCTAGGAGGCGGTGGGTCATTGCCGCGCTCGTTGTTTCGACCGCCATCACGTTTCGCCTGAGATTGAAACGTGTGGCGGCCGCCTTGCCGCCCGTGACCTGTCGAAGGCCCTGTGCCAAGGAGACTCTGTTCTCGAGGGTTAGCTTACCTGTTCCCGTTGGGCGGAGCAGGACTGTGGACCCCTTTGCGGGGAGTTCGTCTAAGGAGGGAATTGGTTGGTTACCCTTGCCTTTGTTTGTCTTACATGAGGCCCCGGATGTTGGGGGGCTTGTCACTGTGGGGGGGGTTGTCGCTCGGGGAGGGGTTGCTGCACCGTCCTTTCTTTTTTGTTGCAGTTCCTCGATGAGGGTGTTGCAGTCCTTGCTGCCTGCTTCCAGAAGTGCTGCAAACTGGTTGGAGGTGTTTACAGTCACCTGGAGTTGGTCGTCATCCTCCTCGGAGGTGTTGTCAGGTGTGGAGTCACTGGGGCTCGATGTTGTGTCCCCGCTTGCTTCGGAGGGGCTGTCGCTGTTCTCGCAGTCGTGGAACAGGTCCACGACTTCGTCCGGGAGCCGATCTGCATTTGGGTGTACTAAACCGGCACTTTTTAGTACACCTAGGATGGCGTCCGGTCGGGGGACGCCATCCTTCGGGGGCTCGTCGCGCTCCACGTGGGCGCCGTCCTCGTGGCTCTCGGGTGCCACGCGGAGGCTAGCCTCCGCGCGGGATCCGGTCCCCACGAGGTTTTCCGCGTTGTCCACGTGGCTCGCGCCGGCTGGCGGTAACGAATGGTTACCGTCTGTGTTTGGTTTGGGCTTCATGGCCCTGCTCCGCAGAAGGTACCCCGAGGGGTCCTCTGTCTCCTTTGAGTGGTCCGTGGTCAGTTGGTCCGGGGGCATGCCTGCGTCGGTGCCCTCCCGAGGGAGGGCGGGGGGGAAACTACAAACTGTTTAAATAAAGGTCCCTCTGCCTCTTTAAGGCAGAAGGATCTTTAACACTAACTACCTCTACTCTATCTTAATTCTTCTTCACATTACGAAGTTAGGGTTAAAGCTAAGACTAAATTCAAAATGGCGCTTAAATTGGAGCTAACAAATCACACGTCTACTTTATTTGCCAACTCTTCTAAAAGTCACCTCTCCTGAAATTTTCAGTTTTCTTTGCTCTTTTTATAGGTTTTCACAGCATTCTGAAAAATGTGCTCCGATTGGCCAGCATTCTAGAGCGCGGGAAACAGTGCGCTGTGATTGGAGTACGCCCAAAATAAAGCTTCGCGATTGGTTGCTGCGCGAACCAATGAGCAAGCAGTTGAAACTACAATTTTTTGGGAGAGGGTTTTGGGAGAGGAGTGCTATGAAGCAGAGGCAGTGCAAGGCGAAAACGCGCTCCTGCAGCGCCCCCCAAGCGGAGAGGACTGGCACTTGCTTTGATTTTCTGCTTCTCGATGCGCTGACTCCCTCACTCACTCAGTGTTCGTTGGTTTGTTCGGTTGTCCACTTCTCACCTCCACCAAGATGTCTGGGCGCGGAAAAGGAGGCAAGGCAAAGGGCAAGAGCAAGACCCGTTCCAGCCGCGCGGGGCTCCAGTTTCCCGTGGGAAGGATCCACCGACTACTGCGAAAGGGCAACTACGCGGAGCGAGTAGGTGCCGGTGCCCCCGTCTACTTGGCGGCCGTACTCGAGTACCTGGCTGCCGAAGTGCTCGAGCTGGCAGGAAACGCGGCCAGAGACAACAAGAAAACTAGGATCATCCCTCGACACCTGCAGCTGGCCATTCGCAACGACGAAGAGCTCAACAAGCTGCTGTCCGGCGTTACCATCGCGCAAGGAGGTGTCCTGCCCAACATCCAGGCCGTCCTCCTTCCCAAGAAGACCGAGAAGAAGGCGTAAACCATCCCGCGGCATCCGCTACAGAAAAACGGTCCTTTTCAGGACCACTCATGACTTGAGTACAGGATACTCATTTCCGTGCGCTAGTCTTCCGTGTCTCTAAACGCTCGGGTATGTGCATTTCAATTTCCTTTTTGTGCAATGCCGACAGTGTTTCTCTTTCATCACCTACAGGCCTTGAATGCCACTCTTAGGCATTCTCCCATGCATAATATTTACGCTGCGTTTAATGCCAAATTCTTTCACGTGTGCGAATTGCCCGAACAAGACTTGCTGTCGGGCGCAAAGGCCAGCATTGCTTGTTATTTGAACTCGTAAAACCACCGCTGCACTGCCTCGCTTTGAGAGGATTTGAAGCTGTTTCTACGAGAGTCAACAATCGGAGCAGCATTTCCCCGAAACCGGCAGAGGGCAATAAATGTTGTGGACATCCCTCAAAAACAGATAATTACTCCACGGGTTTTTGTTGGTCGAATCTATAATCGTGATATTCGCTGATTGCTAGAAAATGAACCCTGTAATGTCTCGGGAAAGGTTTTTTTCTTCTTTATTTATTTCATTCAACAACACTTTAGAAAACAAGGAACACATGAAGGAATCGTTGGAAGCAACTGCGAACGGAGCACTTGGCACAATGCAAACTAGTTCAAAATGGGAGAATAAATAGAAAGTACTCACAGCTTTTGAACTCCTGCACTTGGAACAAGTCAGCATCGGAGATTGAGACACGGGAGGACGTCGCTTTACACATGTCCGAAAAGCATGTCTGATGTGGCCCTGAAGAGGGCCGTTTTTGTGGCGTTGCCTGCCGCTTCCAAAGAAGCGACATTAAGCGCGTTCACCGCGGATGCGACGAGCCAGCTGGATGTCCTTAGGCATGATGGTTACCCGCTTGGCGTGGATGGCACAGAGGTTGGTGTCTTCGAAGAGACCGACCAAGTAGGCCTCGCTGGCCTCCTGCAGGGCCATTACAGCCGAGCTCTGGAAGCGGAGGTCCGTCTTGAAATCTTGCGCGATCTCCCGCACTAGCCTCTGGAAGGGCAGCTTGCGGATGAGCAGCTCAGTCGACTTCTGGTAACGACGAATCTCACGCAGCGCGACCGTGCCCGGCCTGTAGCGATGCGGCTTCTTGACTCCACCGGTTGCAGGAGCACTCTTCCGGGCGGCCTTCGTAGCCAGCTGCTTGCGCGGTGCTTTTCCTCCCGTGCTCTTGCGGGCGGTCTGCTTCGTACGGGCCATTCCGAAACGTTGGGACAATAAAACGAGAGAGCTAGCAAACAGCAACACACCTCGACTCCTGACGACCAACTGCCTCAGCGCGAGTGGCGAAACTTCCTTCCCGACAAGGCCTCTCGGCCAATCAGAGAGCTTGTTCATTCTGGATGCTGTTTTGGGCAAGTTTCTTGCGAGGGACAGCGCACGTGGCTCGCTAGGACAATATTTCACGATTGAAGTGATCTAAACTTGTGGGGATAATGTGGAACCAACGTTAGAGCACAGAATCGAGCAAAAATTAGACTCCCAACCTTGTTATTTTAGAAACGGCACGGTTATAAACATTCGTTACCTTCTCCAGTGGGCCGCGCTTGCCTCTCGTCCAATCAGCGCGCTTGTTCATTCTTGGATGCTGTTTTGGGCGACTTTCTTGCGAGGGCCTATGCGCTTGGCTCCGTAAAATAATTTTTCTCGATCGAAGTAACTCAGACTTGTGAGGATAATGTGGAACCTATATTAGAGCACAGAATCGAGCAAAAATTAGACTCCAAACTTTGTTATTTTAGAAACGGCATGGTTACAAACATTCGTCACCTTCGAAGGGCTTCTCCCGGAGGTTCGCGCTCGCCTCTCTCGGCCAATGAGCGCTTGTTCTAGACGGTTTTTTTTCAGTCTCTCTCTGCTTACGATTAGAGTGGGTCATGTCCGAAGAAGTGTCCGCTCCTGCTGGGGTCGCGGCCCCCGCTGCCCTTAAGAGCCCCAAAAAGGCTTCCACGAAAGTGTCCAAGGGAAAGGCAAAGGCCGTGCCAACGCATCCCAAGGTGTCCGCAATGGTGACAGCATCCATCAGTGCGCTTAAGGAACGTGGTGGTTCATCTCTACAAGCCATCAAGAAATACATGTCTGCCAACTACAAGGTGGACGTCGAGAAGCTGTCTCCTTTCATCCGCAAGTATCTCAAGTCTGCCGTGGCTGCGGGAGCATTGGTGCAGACCAAGGGCAAGGGAGCTACCGGATCGTTCAAGCTGTCAGCCAAGTCCGACAAGCCCTCACCTGCTGCTAGGAAGCCCAAAAAGGAGGCTGGTGCTGCAAAGAAGCGCCCAGCCTCGGCAACTGCCGGTGCGGCCAGGAAGAAGAAGCCCGGGACTGCCAAGAAGTCGCCCGCAAAGAGGGCCAAGTCGGCCGAGCCCAAGTCGGCCAAGCCGAAAAAGCCAAAGGCAGAGAAGAAGGCTGCAGCACCCAAGAGCCCCAAGAAACCCAAGGCAGCAAAAAAGACCCCTGCCAAGAAGCCGGCTGCAAAGAAGGCTTCCTCCAAGAAATAGGTCTTCTCCTGGATATCCAGAGCGAAAAACAAAACGGCCCTCATCAGGGCCATAATTCGTTTGCATATCGGGGGATATGCACTTGCGTGGCATGCAGCTCCCGTGTCTCTCGCCACCTCTCTGTTCCAGCCTCGGTAAGCTGATTCCTGCTCTTTTTCAATGTGCACGAGGCATACTTGGTGTTATATTATTGTTTGTTCCCCTGTTAGCAGCATTTTATCTTTGTGTGTGGTACTCGTGAAGTCGTGGAGGCCCGCTTCACGCTCGAGCCGCGATTCGATCGCCTAAGATCAGGCGAAAATAAAAAAAAAACTACTCGCTTTAGAACAGTCTTTTTTTCTGTCCTCTTAGCGCACACCTTTTTTTTGCGGCACACGAAATTAAGAATCTGTATCTACGTTTATTATTACCTCTTTTAAACTTAAATCGACCAGCCGCCCTGACCGCTTGAAAACTAGTTTTGCCTTCCAAGTAAGAGGTTAGATCGAAATATGAAGAAAAATAACTCCGTTTAAATTCAAATAATTTTTACACCTATTAGAGAAGTTCATTAGCTTTCGGAAAATATATACTTCGCTATGCGTAAAAATATTTTTCGTTGCGTTAGAGAGTGAAACAGGTCAAGCTGTAGAGTCCGGCGCGCGCTCGAGCCGCGATTCGATCGTCCAAGATCAGGCAAAAATTAAATATAAAAAGAACTACTCGCTTCAGAAGAGTCTCTTTTTCTGTGCTCTTAGCGCACACGTTTTTTGAGCGGCACACAAAATTAAGAATCTGCATCTGCGTTTATTATTACCTTTGTTAAACTTAGATCGACCATCCACCCAGAGCGCCCGAAAACTTGTTTTGCCTTCCAAGTAAGTGGTCAGATCGAAATATGAAGAAGAATAACTCCGTTTAAATTCAAATAATTTTTACACCTATTAGAGAAGTTCATTAGCTTTCGGAAAATATATACTTCGCTATGTGTAAAAATATTTTTCGTTGCGTTAGAGAGTGAAACAGGTCAAGCTGTAGAGTCCGGCGCGCGCTCGAGCCGCGATTCGATCGTCCAAGATCAGGCAAAAATTAAATATAAAAAGAACTACTCGCTTCAGAAGAGTCTCTTTTTCTGTGCTCTTAGCGCACACGTTTTTTGAGCGGCACACAAAATTAAGAATCTGCATCTGCGTTTATTATTACCTTTGTTAAACTTAAATCGACCATCCACCCAGAGCGCCCGAAAACTTGTTTTGCCTTCCAAGTAAGTGGTCAGATCGAAATATGAAGAAGAATAACTCCGTTTAAATTCAAATAATTTTTACACCTATTAGAGAAGTTCATTAGCTTTCGGAAAATATATACTTCGCTATGCGTAAAAATATTTTTCGTTGCGTTAGAGAGTGAAACAGGTCAAGCTGTAGAGTCCGGCGCGCGCTCGAGCCGCGATTCGATCGTCCAAGATCAGGCAAAAATTAAATATAAAAAGAACTACTCGCTTCAGAAGAGTCTCTTTTTCTGTGCTCTTAGCGCACACGTTTTTTTAGCGGCACACAAAATTAAGAATCTGCATCTGCGTTTATTATTACCTTTGTTAAACTTAAATCGACCATCCACCCAGAGCGCCCGAAAACTTGTTTTGCCTTCCAAGTAAGTGGTTAGATCGAAATATGAAGAAGAATAACTCCGTTTAAATTCAAATAATTTTTACACCTATTAGAGAAGTTCATTAGCTTTCAGAAAATATAAGAACTGGTACAAAAGGACACAACCCTCCAAGAGAGCAGAAAAAAAAAAAAAGAAAAATGCCATCAGCACTCCGTGTTCCCAGGTGGTCACCCTCCCAAGTACTGACGGAGCCCGATGCTGCTTAGCTTCGGTGATCGGACGAGAACCGGCGTATTCAGCATGGTATGGCCGATGGCAGGTACTAGGGCAACGAATGTTCGACTGCTGCCTGAGAAGATTGGTACACTCGGCTGTGGCGCACAAAATGGTAGAGACCCGCGGCAAAACAACACTCATGACAAAAGAGGAATCACTCACCCAAAGCAGTGCTTGTTTTCAGGATTACAGAGAGACACGGGAGGGAGGCGTTGGAATGAAAACCCGTTTCCAAGATAGACCGGTACTGGTTTGGCCCTGAAAAGGGCCGTTTTCGATGTGTGTCCGACGGCGAGACGGCTGTTAACCACCGAAACCATAGAGGGTACGGCCTTGCCTCTTGAGCGCGTACACCACATCCATGGCCGTCACGGTCTTCCTCTTGGCGTGCTCGGTGTAGGTGACGGCATCGCGAATGACGTTCTCCAGGAAGACCTTGAGGACGCCGCGGGTCTCTTCATAGATGAGGCCGGAAATGCGCTTGACACCACCGCGGCGGGCTAGGCGACGGATTGCAGGCTTGGTGATCCCCTGGATGTTATCGCGAAGAACCTTGCGATGGCGCTTGGCACCACCCTTGCCCAGGCCCTTGCCGCCCTTGCCTCTTCCAGACATGTTTGCTGCAAAAACAGGGACGGAAAACACGACCGCACCGTTCGCCTACTTCAACAAAGACTGGCGGCAATGCTCTACGGGTCCGACCAAGTGAACCCACGACGGCCTCCTCCTCTCCCGCCGACGAATGGGAGCAGTCCTGCAGCTTCGTATTGTGGCCGACAGGTGGCTGCGCACTGGAAGCAAGCGTGTGTTGATGAAATGCATGGCTTTAGCAAAGGCATTCATACACCTCGCCCATTTTGAGTCTTCATAGTTGTATGTGCAAAACATTGTTTTTTCTAGGTTCCAGGAGATATATATTTTAGCGGGATTAAGATTCGCTTTCGCTAAGTCAATGGGAGAAACATGTCAACTCAGGAGTGCCGAGCTTCGCACCGATGCAGCTAGTCAAGGGCCCGTTTTCACATGCGAATAAAAAAGAGTTTTATAAACGTTCGAGCAATCTATTCATCGGAACTTGTACAAGACACACTCTTCTCACGGCACACAAAAATTAAAGTTTCTTATCACTGGCGTTTTTAAGCGCGCAGTGCAATTCACCGCCATGGTGAGCCGGGTCGACAGCAAGTTGGGTCACCCAAGAACACAGTTTGATCAAAATATTGACTTATATAAAAGGGTCCGGTTTTAAGTGCTTATTACACGGGACGAAAAGTCTTTTTGGCTGGCAGAAAATTTGATACTGAAAAACGTTTTACCAAGCCTTCGGTCTGTTAAGAAGCCAAACCTGCCACCCGAAAGCGGCCAGTTCGTGCCGCTGCCGCGAATCGCGCAAATGAAGTAAAGTAATAAAACAATTTCGTCTAAATTCAAATGCTTTTTACACCTACCGAAGAATTTCATTAGCTTTCAGAAAATAGACACTTCGGTAAGCGTAAAGATATTTTTCGTTGCGTTAGAGAGCGAAACAGGCGAAGCCGTAGGGCCGGCTTCGCGCTCGGGCCGGAATTCGATTGTCCAAGATCAGGCAAAAATTAAAAATAAAAAAAAAACTACTCGCTTTAGAAGAGTCTCTTTTTCTGTGCTCTTAGCGCACACCTTTTTTTAGCGGCACACGAAATTAAGAATCTGTAGCTACGTTTTTTATTACCTTTTTTAAGCTTAAATCGACCAGCCGCCCTTAGCGCCCGAAAACTAGTTTCGGCTTCCAAGTAAGCGGTTAGATCGAAATATGAAGAAGAATAACTCCGTTTCAATTCAAATGCTTTTTACACCTATTGAAGAAGTTTATTAGCTTTCAAAAAATATATACTTCGATATGCGTAAAAATATTTTTCGTTGCGTTAGAGAGTGAAACAGGTGAAGCTGTAGAGTCCGGCGCGCGCTCGAGCCGCGATTCGATCGTCTAAGATCAGGCAAAAATTAGAAATAAAAAGAACTACTCGCTTTAGAAAAGTCTCTTTTTCTGTGCTTTTAGCGCACACTTTTCTCTAGCGGCACACAAAATTAACAGTCTTTATCTACCTTGTTTTAAACTTAAATCGACCAGCCACCCAGAGCGCCCGAAAACTAGATTTGGCTTCCAAGTAAGTGGTTAGATCAATATATGAACAAAAATAACTCTGTTTAAAATCAAACGCTTTCTATACCTATTGGAGAAGTTCATTAGCTTTCGGAAAATATATATTTCGATATGCGTAAAGATATTTTTCGTTGCGTTAGAGAGGGAAACATGTGAAGCTGTAGAGTCCGGCGCGCGCTCGTGCCGCGATTCGATCGTCTAAGATCAGGCAAAAATAAAAATAAAAGTACTCGCCTTAAAAGAGTTTCTCTTTTTTGTGCTGTTAGTACACACTTTTCTTTCGCGGCACACGAGATTAAAAGCCTGTATCTACGTTTATCATTGCATTTTTTAAACTTAAAATAAGAACACTCGAATTTAAAAGCAAGTTATTTGATACAACCGTGGCTCTAAAAAGAAAAACGCTGCAACTCGAAAACAAAACACTTTGGAGTATGGGCTCCCAACGGCTAAAAACCACGCGAATATATCCTTTACATACGCGAGCGATGTGCAATATTTAGGAAGGTCACTCGTGCCCTCAAAAGCAATGAAATACAATGTTTTTTTTTTCACCGAAACAAAATAAACGACATCCGACTGTGGCTACAAGAAGCCAAGTTCGACTGCACAACAAGAAAAAAGACATACTCTTTGCAAACATGCGCGATGCAGAAGCACTGGGTACTCACATATTTCTTGAAAAGAGAGACACGGGAGTTGGAAGTCATCGAGAGACGGCCGTTTTGCAGGGATGAGTATGGCCCTCAAAAGGGCCGTTTGTACATACAGCAGGGAGATAGCTCCTGGGTGTTACTTGGAACTGGTGTACTTGGTGACAGCCTTGGTGCCCTCGGACACCGCATGCTTTGCCAGTTCACCCGGCAGCAGGAGCCTCACAGCTGTCTGGATCTCCCGACTCGTGATGGTCGAGCGCTTGTTGTAGTGAGCCAGCCGAGACGACTCTGCTGCGATGCGCTCGAAGATGTCGTTCACGAAGCTGTTCATGATCGACATGGCCTTGCTGGACACTCCGGTGTCGGGATGGACCTGTTTGAGCACCTTGTAGATGTAGATGCTGAAGCTCTCCTTCCTCTTGCGCCTCTTCTTCTTCTTGTCGGTGGCACGCACATTTTTCTGTGCCTTGCCCGCCTTCTTCACTGCTTTTCCGCTCGGTTGGGGGGGCATCCTCGCGCGACTTGTCTTCGGGAGAAGATCGACGTTGTTACTCGCAAAAAGATGGCGAAACAACAACTGGGGCAACCTGAAATTTTCAGTTTTCTTTGCTCTTTTTATAGGTTTTCACAGCATTCTGAAAAATGTGCTCCGATTGGCCAGCATTCTAGAGCGCGGGAAACAGTGCGCTGTGATTGGAGTACGCCCAAAATAAAGCTTCGCGATTGGTTGCTGCGCGAACCAATGAGCAAGCAGTTGAAACTACAATTTTTTGGGAGAGGGTTTTGGGAGAGGAGTGCTATGAAGCAGAGGCAGTGCAAGGCGAAAACGCGCTCCTGCAGCGCCCCCCAAGCGGAGAGGACTGGCACTTGCTTTGATTTTCTGCTTCTCGATGCGCTGACTCCCTCACTCACTCAGTGTTCGTTGGTTTGTTCGGTTGTCCACTTCTCACCTCCACCAAGATGTCTGGGCGCGGAAAAGGAGGCAAGGCAAAGGGCAAGAGCAAGACCCGTTCCAGCCGCGCGGGGCTCCAGTTTCCCGTGGGAAGGATCCACCGACTACTGCGAAAGGGCAACTACGCGGAGCGAGTAGGTGCCGGTGCCCCCGTCTACTTGGCGGCCGTACTCGAGTACCTGGCTGCCGAAGTGCTCGAGCTGGCAGGAAACGCGGCCAGAGACAACAAGAAAACTAGGATCATCCCTCGACACCTGCAGCTGGCCATTCGCAACGACGAAGAGCTCAACAAGCTGCTGTCCGGCGTTACCATCGCGCAAGGAGGTGTCCTGCCCAACATCCAGGCCGTCCTCCTTCCCAAGAAGACCGAGAAGAAGGCGTAAACCATCCCGCGGCATCCGCTACAGAAAAACGGTCCTTTTCAGGACCACTCATGACTTGAGTACAGGATACTCATTTCCGTGCGCTAGTCTTCCGTGTCTCTAAACGCTCGGGTATGTGCATTTCAATTTCCTTTTTGTGCAATGCCGACAGTGTTTCTCTTTCATCACCTACAGGCCTTGAATGCCACTCTTAGGCATTCTCCCATGCATAATATTTACGCTGCGTTTAATGCCAAATTCTTTCACGTGTGCGAATTGCCCGAACAAGACTTGCTGTCGGGCGCAAAGGCCAGCATTGCTTGTTATTTGAACTCGTAAAACCACCGCTGCACTGCCTCGCTTTGAGAGGATTTGAAGCTGTTTCTACGAGAGTCAACAATCGGAGCAGCATTTCCCCGAAACCGGCAGAGGGCAATAAATGTTGTGGACATCCCTCAAAAACAGATAATTACTCCACGGGTTTTTGTTGGTCGAATCTATAATCGTGATATTCGCTGATTGCTAGAAAATGAACCCTGTAATGTCTCGGGAAAGGTTTTTTTCTTCTTTATTTATTTCATTCAACAACACTTTAGAAAACAAGGAACACATGAAGGAATCGTTGGAAGCAACTGCGAACGGAGCACTTGGCACAATGCAAACTAGTTCAAAATAATGGGAGAATAAATAGAAAGTACTCACAGCTTTTGAACTCCTGCACTTGGAACAAGTCAGCATCGGAGATTGAGACACGGGAGGACGTCGCTTTACACATGTCCGAAAAGCATGTCTGATGTGGCCCTGAAGAGGGCCGTTTTTGTGGCGTTGCCTGCCGCTTCCAAAGAAGCGACATTAAGCGCGTTCACCGCGGATGCGACGAGCCAGCTGGATGTCCTTAGGCATGATGGTTACCCGCTTGGCGTGGATGGCACAGAGGTTGGTGTCTTCGAAGAGACCGACCAAGTAGGCCTCGCTGGCCTCCTGCAGGGCCATTACAGCCGAGCTCTGGAAGCGGAGGTCCGTCTTGAAATCTTGCGCGATCTCCCGCACTAGCCTCTGGAAGGGCAGCTTGCGGATGAGCAGCTCAGTCGACTTCTGGTAACGACGAATCTCACGCAGCGCGACCGTGCCCGGCCTGTAGCGATGCGGCTTCTTGACTCCACCGGTTGCAGGAGCACTCTTCCGGGCGGCCTTCGTAGCCAGCTGCTTGCGCGGTGCTTTTCCTCCCGTGCTCTTGCGGGCGGTCTGCTTCGTACGGGCCATTCCGAAACGTTGGGACAATAAAACGAGAGAGCTAGCAAACAGCAACACACCTCGACTCCTGACGACCAACTGCCTCAGCGCGAGTGGCGAAACTTCCTTCCCGACAAGGCCTCTCGGCCAATCAGAGAGCTTGTTCATTCTGGATGCTGTTTTGGGCAAGTTTCTTGCGAGGGACAGCGCACGTGGCTCGCTAGGACAATATTTCACGATTGAAGTGATCTAAACTTGTGGGGATAATGTGGAACCAACGTTAGAGCACAGAATCGAGCAAAAATTAGACTCCCAACCTTGTTATTTTAGAAACGGCACGGTTATAAACATTCGTTACCTTCTCCAGTGGGCCGCGCTCGCCTCTCGTCCAATCAGCGCGCTTGTTCATTCTTGGATGCTGTTTTGGGCGACTTTCTTGCGAGGGCCTATGCGCTTGGCTCCGTAAAATAATTTTTCTCGATCGAAGTAACTCAGACTTGTGAGGATAATGTGGAACCTATATTAGAGCACAGAATCGAGCAAAAATTAGACTCCAAACTTTGTTATTTTAGAAACGGCATGGTTACAAACATTCGTCACCTTCGAAGGGCTTCTCCCGGAGGTTCGCGCTCGCCTCTCTCGGCCAATGAGCGCTTGTTCTAGACGGTTTTTTTTCAGTCTCTCTCTGCTTACGATTAGAGTGGGTCATGTCCGAAGAAGTGTCCGCTCCTGCTGGGGTCGCGGCCCCCGCTGCCCTTAAGAGCCCCAAAAAGGCTTCCACGAAAGTGTCCAAGGGAAAGGCAAAGGCCGTGCCAACGCATCCCAAGGTGTCCGCAATGGTGACAGCAACCATCAGTGCGCTTAAGGAACGTGGTGGTTCATCTCTACAAGCCATCAAGAAATACATGTCTGCCAACTACAAGGTGGACGTCGAGAAGCTGTCTCCTTTCATCCGCAAGTATCTCAAGTCTGCCGTGGCTGCGGGAGCATTGGTGCAGACCAAGGGCAAGGGAGCTACCGGATCGTTCAAGCTGTCAGCCAAGTCCGACAAGCCCTCACCTGCTGCTAGGAAGCCCAAAAAGGAGGCTGGTGCTGCAAAGAAGCGCCCAGCCTCGGCAACTGCCGGTGCGGCCAGGAAGAAGAAGCCCGGGACTGCCAAGAAGTCGCCCGCAAAGAGGGCCAAGTCGGCCAAGCCCAAGTCGGCCAAGCCGAAAAAGCCAAAGGCAGAGAAGAAGGCTGCAGCACCCAAGAGCCCCAAGAAACCCAAGGCAGCAAAAAAGACCCCTGCCAAGAAGCCGGCTGCAAAGAAGGCTTCCTCCAAGAAATAGGTCTTCTCCTGGATATCCAGAGCGAAAAACAAAACGGCCCTCATCAGGGCCATAATTCGTTTGCATATCGGGGGATATGCACTTGCGTGGCATGCAGCTCCCGTGTCTCTCGCCACCTCTCTGTTCCAGCCTCGGTAAGCTGATTCCTGCTCTTTTTCAATGTGCACGAGGCATACTTGGTGTTATATTATTGTTTGTTCCCCTGTTAGCAGCATTTTATCTTTGTGTGTGGTACTCGTGAAGTCGTGGAGGCCCGCTTCACGCTCGAGCCGCGATTCGATCGCCTAAGATCAGGCGAAAATAAAAAAAAAACTACTCGCTTTAGAACAGTCTTTTTTTCTGTCCTCTTAGCGCACACCTTTTTTTTGCGGCACACGAAATTAAGAATCTGTATCTACGTTTATTATTACCTCTTTTAAACTTAAATCGACCAGCCGCCCTGACCGCTTGAAAACTAGTTTTGCCTTCCAAGTAAGAGGTTAGATCGAAATATGAAGAAAAATAACTCCGTTTAAATTCAAATAATTTTTACACCTATTAGAGAAGTTCATTAGCTTTCGGAAAATATATACTTCGCTATGCGTAAAAATATTTTTCGTTGCGTTAGAGAGTGAAACAGGTCAAGCTGTAGAGTCCGGCGCGCGCTCGAGCCGCGATTCGATCGTCCAAGATCAGGCAAAAATTAAATATAAAAAGAACTACTCGCTTCAGAAGAGTCTCTTTTTCTGTGCTCTTAGCGCACACGTTTTTTTAGCGGCACACAAAATTAAGAATCTGCATCTGCGTTTATTATTACCTTTGTTAAACTTAAATCGACCATCCACCCAGAGCGCCCGAAAACTTGTTTTGCCTTCCAAGTAAGTGGTCAGATCGAAATATGAAGAAGAATAACTCCGTTTAAATTCAAATAATTTTTACACCTATTAGAGAAGTTCATTAGCTTTCGGAAAATATATACTTCGCTATGCGTAAAAATATTTTTCGTTGCGTTAGAGAGTGAAACAGGTCAAGCTGTAGAGTCCGGCGCGCGCTCGAGCCGCGATTCGATCGTCCAAGATCAGGCAAAAATTAAATATAAAAAGAACTACTCGCTTCAGAAGAGTCTCTTTTTCTGTGCTCTTAGCGCACACGTTTTTTTAGCGGCACACAAAATTAAGAATCTGCATCTGCGTTTATTATTACCTTTGTTAAACTTAAATCGACCATCCACCCAGAGCGCCCGAAAACTTGTTTTGCCTTCCAAGTAAGTGGTCAGATCGAAATATGAAGAAAAATAACTCCGTTTAAAATTCAAATAATTTTTTACACCTATTAGAGAAGTTCATTAGCTTTCGGAAAATATATACTTCGCTATGCGTAAAATATTTTTCGTTGCGTTAGAGAGTGAAACAGGTCAAGCTGTAGAGTCCGGCGCGCGCTCGAGCCGCGATTCGATCGTCCAAGATCAGGCAAAAATTAAATATAAAAAGAACTACTCGCTTCAGAAGAGTCTCTTTTTCTGTGCTCTTAGCGCACACGTTTTTTGAGCGGCACACAAAATTAAGAATCTGCATCTGCGTTTATTATTACCTTTGTTAAACTTAAATCGACCATCCACCCAGAGCGCCCGAAAAACTTGTTTTGCCTCCAAGTAAGTGGTCAGATCGAAATATGAAGAAGAATAACTCCGTTTAAATTCAAATAATTTTTACACCTATTAGAGAAGTTCATTAGCTTTCGGAAATATATACTTCGCTATGCGTAAAAATATTTTTCGTTGCGTTAGAGAGTGAAACAGGTCAAGCTGTAGAGTCCGGCGCGCGCTCGAGCCGCGATTCGATCGTCCAAGATCAGGCAAAAATTAAATATAAAAAGAACTACTCGCTTCAGAAGAGTCTCTTTTTCTGTGCTCTTAGCGCACACGTTTTTTGAGCGGCACACAAAATTAAGAATCTGCATCTGCGTTTATTATTACTTTGTTAAACTTAAATCGACCATCCACCCAGAGCGCCCGAAAACTTGTTTTGCCTTCCAAGTAAGTGGTCAGATCGAAATATGAAGAAGAATAACTCCGTTTAAATTCAAATAATTTTTACACCTATTAGAGAAGTTCATTAGCTTTCGGAAAATATATACTTCGCTATGCGTAAAAATATTTTTCGTTGCGTTAGAGAGTGAAACAGGTGAAGCTGTAGAGTCCGGCGCGCGCTCGAGCCGCGATTCGATCGTCCAAGATCAGGCAAAAATTAAATATAAAAAGAACTACTCGCTTCAGAAGAGTCTCTTTTTCTGTGCTCTTAGCGCACACGTTTTTTGAGCGGCACACAAAATTAAGAATCTGCATCTGCGTTTATTATTACCTTGTTAAACTTAAATCGACCATCCACCCAGAGCGCCCGAAAACTTGTTTTGCCTTCCAAGTAAGTGGTCAGATCGAAATATGAAGAAGAATAACTCCGTTTAAATTCAAATAATTTTTACACCTATTAGAGAAGTTCATTAGCTTTCGGAAAATATATACTTCGCTATGCGTAAAAATATTTTTCGTTGCGTTAGAGAGTGAAACAGGTCAAGCTGTAGAGTCCGGCGCGCGCTCGAGCCGCGATTCGATCGTCCAAGATCAGGCAAAAATTAAATATAAAAAGAACTACTCGCTTCAGAAGAGTCTCTTTTTCTGTGCTCTTAGCGCACACGTTTTTTTAGCGGCACACAAAATTAAGAATCTGCATCTGCGTTTATTATTACCTTTGTTAAACTTAAATCGACCATCCACCCAGAGCGCCCGAAAACTTGTTTTGCCTTCCAAGTAAGTGGTTAGATCGAAATATGAAGGAAGAATAACTCCGTTTAAATTCAAATAATTTTTACACCTATTAGAGAAGTTCATTAGCTTTCAGAAAATATAAGAACTGGTACAAAAGGACACAACCCCTCCAAGAGAGCAGAAAAAAAAAAAAGAAAAATGCCATCAGCACTCCGTGTTCTCAGGTGGTCACCCTCCCAAGTACTGACGGAGCCCGATGCTGCTTAGCTTCGGTGATCGGACGAGAACCGGCGTATTCAGCATGGTATGGCCGATGGCAGGTACTAGGGCAACGAATGTTCGACTGCTGCCTGAGAAGATTGGTACACTCGGCTGTGGCGCACAAAATGGTAGAGACCCGCGGCAAAACAACACTCATGACAAAAGAGGAATCACTCACCCAAAGCAGTGCTTGTTTTCAGGATTACAGAGAGACACGGGAGGGAGGCGTTGGAATGAAAACCCGTTTCCAAGATAGACCGGTACTGGTTTGGCCCTGAAAAGGGCCGTTTTCGATGTGTGTCCGACGGCGAGACGGCTGTTAACCACCGAAACCATAGAGGGTACGGCCTTGCCTCTGAGCGCGTACACCACATCCATGGCCGTCACGGTCTTCCTCTTGGCGTGCTCGGTGTAGGTGACGGCATCGCGAATGACGTTCTCCAGGAAGACCTTGAGGACGCCGCGGGTCTCTCATAGATGAGGCCGGAAATGCGCTTGACACCACCGCGGCGGGCTAGGCGACGGATTGCAGGCTTGGTGATCCCCTGGATGTTATCGCGAAGAACCTTGCGATGGCGCGTTGGCACCACCCTTGCCCAGGCCCTTGCCGCCCTTGCCTCTTCCAGACATGTTTGCTGCAAAAACAGGGACGGAAAACACGACCGCACCGTTCGCCTACTTCAACAAAGACTGGCGGCAATGCTCTACGGGTCCGACCAAGGTGAACCCACGACGGCCTCCTCCTCCCGCCGACGAATGGGAGCAGTCCTGCAGCTTCGTATTGTGGCCGACAGGTGGCTGCGCACTGGAAGCAAGCGTGTGTTGATGAAATGCATGGCTTTAGCAAAGGCATTCATACACCTCGCCCATTTTGAGTCTTCATAGGTTGTATGTGCAAAACATTGTTTTTTCTAGGTTCCAGGAGATATATATTTTAGCGGGATTAAGATTCGCTTTCGCTAAGTCAATGGGAGAAACATGTCAACTCAGGAGTGCCGAGCTTCGCACCGATGCAGCTAGTCAAGGGCCCGTTTTCACATGCGAATTAAAAAAGAGTTTTATAAACGTTCGAGCAATCTATTCATCGGAACTTGTACAAGACACACTCTTCTCACGGCACACAAAAATTAAAGTTTCTTATCACTGGCGTTTTTAAGCGCGCAGTGCAATTCACCGCCATGGTGAGCCGGGTCGACAGCAAGTTGGGTCACCCAAGAACACAGTTTGATCAAAATATTGACTTATATAAAAGGGTCCGGTTTTAAGTGCTTATTACACGGGACGAAAAGTCTTTTTGGCTGGCAGAAAATTTGATACTGAAAAACGTTTTACCAAGCCTTCGGTCTGTTAAGAAGCCAAACCTGCCACCCGAAAGCGGCCAGTTCGTGCCGCTGCCGCGAATCGCGCAAATGAAGTAAAGTAATAAAACATTTCGTCTAAATTCAAATGCTTTTTACACCTACCGAAGAATTTCATTAGCTTTCAGAAAATAGACACTTCGGTAAGCGTAAAGATATTTTTCGTTGCGTTAGAGAGCGAAACAGGCGAAGCCGTAGGGCCGGCTTCGCGCTCGGGCCGGAATTCGATTGTCCAAGATCAGGCAAAAATTAAAAATAAAAAAAAAACTACTCGCTTTAGAAGAGTCTCTTTTTCTGTGCTCTTAGCGCACACCTTTTTTTAGCGGCACACGAAATTAAGAATCTGTAGCTACGTTTTTTATTACCTTTTTTAAGCTTAAATCGACCAGCCGCCCTTAGCGCCCGAAAACTAGTTTCGGCTTCCAAGGTAAGCGGTTAGATCGAAATATGAAGAAGAATAACTCCGTTTCAATTCAAATGCTTTTTACACCTATTGAAGAAGTTTATTAGCTTTCAAAAAATATATACTTCGATATGCGTAAAAATATTTTTCGTTGCGTTAGAGAGTGAAACAGGTGAAGCTGTAGAGTCCGGCGCGCGCTCGAGCCGCGATTCGATCGTCTAAGATCAGGCCAAAAATTAGAAATAAAAAGAACTACTCGCTTTAGAAAAGTCTCTTTTTCTGTGCTTTTAGCGCACACTTTTCTCTAGCGGCACACAAAATTAACAGTCTTTATCTACCTTGTTTTAAACTTAAATCGACCAGCCACCCAGAGCGCCCGAAAACTAGATTTGGCTTCCAAGTAAGTGGTTAGATCAATATATGAACAAAAATAACTCTGTTTAAAATCAAACGCTTTCTATACCTATTGGAGAAGTTCATTAGCTTTCGGAAAATATATATTTCGATATGCGTAAAGATATTTTTCGTTGCGTTAGAGAGGGAAACATGTGAAGCTGTAGAGTCCGGCGCGCGCTCGTGCCGCGATTCGATCGTCTAAGATCAGGCAAAAATAAAAATAAAAGTACTCGCCTTAAAAGAGTTTCTCTTTTTTGTGCTGTTAGTACACACTTTTCTTTCGCGGCACACGAGATTAAAAGCCTGTATCTACGTTTATCATTGCATTTTTTAAACTTAAAATAAGAACACTCGAATTTAAAAGCAAGTTATTTGATACAACCGTGGCTCTAAAAAGAAAAACGCTGCAACTCGAAAACAAAACACTTTGGAGTATGGGCTCCCAACGGCTAAAAACCACGCGAATATATCCTTTACATACGCGAGCGATGTGCAATATTTAGGAAGGTCACTCGTGCCCTCAAAAGCAATGAAATACAATGTTTTTTTTTTCACCGAAACAAAATAAACGACATCCGACTGTGGCTACAAGAAGCCAAGTTCGACTGCACAACAAGAAAAAAGACATACTCTTTGCAAACATGCGCGATGCAGAAGCACTGGTACTCACATATTTCTTGAAAAGAGAGACACGGGAGTTGGAAGTCATCGAGAGACGGCCGTTTTGCAGGGGATGAGTATGGCCCTCAAAAGGGCCGTTTGTACATACAGCAGGGAGATAGCTCCTGGGTGTTACTTGGAACTGGTGTACTTGGTGACAGCCTTGGTGCCCTCGGACACCGCATGCTTTGCCAGTTCACCCGGCAGCAGGAGCCTCACAGCTGTCTGGATCTCCCGACTCGTGATGGTCGAGCGCTTGTTGTAGTGAGCCAGCCGAGACGACTCTGCTGCGATGCGCTCGAAGATGTCGTTCACGAAGCTGTTCATGATCGACATGGCCTTGCTGGACACTCCGGTGTCGGGATGGACCTGTTTGAGCACCTTGTAGATGTAGATGCTGAAGCTCTCCTTCCTCTTGCGCCTCTTCTTCTTCTTGTCGGTGGCACGCACATTTTTCTGTGCCTTGCCCGCCTTCTTCACTGCTTTTCCGCTCGGTTGGGGGGGCATCCTCGCGCGACTTGTCTTCGGGAGAAGATCGACGTTGTTACTCGCAAAAAGATTGGCGAAACAACAACTGGGGCAACCTGAAATTTTCAGAGAGAGAGAGAGAAGTCTTGCAAAAGAGGAAAAACCATCGTTGGAGTTACAGCCATGGGCCGAACGGTCATCGTTGGATTGGGGGGAAGGGAAGGGGATAAAAGCTGATAGAAGAAAAAATTGTGAAAAAAAGAGAGAGGGGGGGTTGTTTCGCCAAAGCCGAACAAGCGGGGCGCGAGGAGCCACAGAAAGTGGACTGGCAGAAAGGGGGCGGAGCCGAGGAAGGAAGGAGATCCTTTAAATGTCCAAGTGTCTTGTCCAGAAGCCTGTAGCACATCTTCACAGAGTCCAGGGTGAACGAATCGGGTTCGGCACGCGGTGTCCGAATTTCCAAGGCACTGCCACCAGTCACACCAACACCAAGTTTCCCAGTTTTTCCGAGCCAAAGTGCAATGGGTCGGCGAGCATCTCTCTGCTGCATGTATACACAACACGGTGTTGCGAAAGGATTGGGGGGGAACATTAATAGATTCCGTTCCCTCAACAGGGGCGGTCGAGCCTATTGTATGCATAAGGGACATTCCGCAGAGTGCTACGGAATGACATTCTTTGCCTGTGTTTGGCTGAGTGACCCACGCGATTTAACGCGTGGTTCACCAAACGCAAAGGTAGAAATTACTTGTATGGCATTTTCTGAAAATGCCTGACCCTTGGCATGCCTAGGGTTTACTAGCTTGAAATTTTCAGTTTTCTTTGCTCTTTTTATAGGTTTTCACAGCATTCTGAAAAATGTGCTCCGATTGGCCAGCATTCTAGAGCGCGGGAAACAGTGCGCTGTGATTGGAGTACGCCCAAAATAAAGCTTCGCGATTGGTTGCTGCGCGAACCAATGAGCAAGCAGTTGAAACTACAATTTTTTGGGAGAGGGTTTTGGGAGAGGAGTGCTATGAAGCAGAGGCAGTGCAAGGCGAAAACGCGCTCCTGCAGCGCCCCCCAAGCGGAGAGGACTGGCACTTGCTTTGATTTTCTGCTTCTCGATGCGCTGACTCCCTCACTCACTCAGTGTTCGTTGGTTTGTTCGGTTGTCCACTTCTCACCTCCACCAAGATGTCTGGGCGCGGAAAAGGAGGCAAGGCAAAGGGCAAGAGCAAGACCCGTTCCAGCCGCGCGGGGCTCCAGTTTTCCCGTGGGAAGGATCCACCGACTACTGCGAAAGGGCAACTACGCGGAGCGAGTAGGTGCCGGTGCCCCCGTCTACTTGGCGGCCGTACCTCGAGTACCTGGCTGCCGAAGTGCTCGAGCTGGCAGGAAACGCGGCAGAGACAACAAGAAAACTAGGATCATCCCTCGACACCTGCAGCTGGCCATTCGCAACGACGAAGAGCTCACAAGCTGCTGTCCGGCGTTACCATCGCGCAAGGAGGTGTCCTGCCCAACATCCAGGCCGTCCTCCTTCCCAAGAAGACCGAGAAGAAGGCGTAACCATCCCGCGGCATCCGCTACAGAAAAACGGTCCTTTTCAGGACCACTCATGACTTGAGTACAGGATACTCATTTCCGTGCGCTAGTCTTCCGTGTCTCTAAACGCTCGGGTATGTGCATTTCAATTTCCTTTTTGTGCAATGCCGACAGTGTTTCTCTTTCATCACCTACAGGCCTTGAATGCCACTCTTAGGCATTCTCCCATGCATAATATTTACGCTGCGTTTAATGCCAAATTCTTTCACG